GCTGGAGGAGAGCGGAGGATTCAGTGTGTCGGAGGTGTCGCCAAACAGCAACTTTTTTTGGTTTCATGCTAATGCTCAAGGGTGAAATCTACTGGATGAAAAAAGTTGCTGATTCTTCCTTTAATGGCAGGAAATAAAAAAGACTAATACTAAAGTTGGATGGCTGGTACCTACTGGTGATTTGTTCCTCCATTCAGACGTTGGCAGTGTTGGGACTAATGTGACGTTGGCCATTTTCCTATGACATCAAGCTAAGGGTGGGAAGCGCAATTTCTTTGATAATGGTGATAGTTTGATGATTGTATTGTAAATTAACTCAGGAACTCTAACAATCGTTGGATAGTGCAATTCCATAGTGCATTTTGTTCAAACTCCATGATGATGATGGTAAGATAGAGTGGTTGAATGCTTACATTAGCTCTTATCTTATGGTTGTTAATTGGTTATCAAAAAACATTTCACGATATGTTACGATATTTTTTTTTACAACATTTTCAACAGCTAATGTTAGCATTTAGATACTCTTAGGTACTATCACTGTTAGCTATAAGTGTCTGAATGCTAACATTACCTTTGGATATCTTTGTATGCTGAAAAGTGTATTAGCTAGCAGTTAGCTTATAAATAATAAAGTGGTTGAATGCTTTCATTCGCTATTGTCTGATGATGGTACAGTTAAGATATAAAATATCCTATTGTGTCAAAAAACTCTTTCAAGATTTGGTGTGCTTTGATTTAAAAGGAGCGCATCGTCACATTGAGGGAGTGTTTTTTCAAATTTTTCCAATATCTTGAAAAATATATAAATGTTGAACCATCAAACTTGTTATGTCGACTTTTTAGCTGCATGGTAGATAATGAATTGTGAATTGAAGTTTAAGTCACATATCTCCATGTTTCCTTACAGCTGGGGTTCCTTCAGCACACTGATAACACACAAAGAGTTGAGTGTGTGTGTGTGTGTGTGTGTGTGTGTGTGTGTGTGTGTGTGTGTGTGTGTGTGTGTGTGTGTGTGTGCAGGATAAAAGGCAAAGCCAAGGAATCAGGCAACATTAAGTAAAGGATCTGATAAGAACACAATGATATAATTTGGAACCAGAGGCCTCTGAAATGACAGTCATTGATTAAAAGTCATCTCTTAGAAAGAACAATACAGTGTTGTTTACATCATAATTCGAATGAAAACAAAGCCACTCAAGCCCAGCTCCCATTGGAGTGAAAAACGCTGAAGTGAATCAATATTATAATTCAATTGTAAATGGTGCTTCATCTCCTTTGTAAAGGGACTGAGTTTAAGTGTCAACCCAGGAATCAAAGCTCAATTTAAACAAGAAAAGAGAGGCGAGAAGCTCAGATGTCCAAAATGGGACATAATGATGGGGTGTAAATGGAGAATAATCCTGCATTGGGAAGGGAGTTAAAGGGGGTCATCTGGCTGCTGACACACATATTCACCCACGAACAAACTGACACACAAATGAGTGAATAATAACAGGAATCCAACAGGGTGACAACTTATTTTAGCTTGAGTAATAGTGCTGTTCATTAAGAGAGACAAGGGATCCCCGGTGGGAATTCAACTACATAATAGCCATGAAGCTGAAGCGTGAGCTCTTAAATCGATGAGTTTCTATCCTGCTGCTATTCAATCCTTTTTTTCCTTGCGTGTCCATTTTTCTTAGATTGTTATTTGCTTGAATGGTTTTCCACTCAAAAGTAATAAGATAGAAAAATTTACTATAGTGTATAATGCAAGGTGACAATACATAAACTAGATATAATTATTATCTTTTAATCTCAAAAAAGAAATGATCTAATGGGACACAGATTGTATGTGCACATTTGGAGAAATCCTACCTGCATATCCCATATGCTTTCTTGTCAAGTGTCTCGAGTCAACACTATACAAATAATGATTGATTGATTGATTGATTTACCTATGAACATCTCTATTTAAGGAAAATGTATAGATGAGGTGAAAAGAGTCAGCAGAGAGCTGTGTTTTATGATGTGATCTATCTCTGTTTTGGGATATTTCATCTTTTAGTGTTAAGTTTGTGTTTATTCAGAAAGTTAAGCAGTTTGGCATTAACAAAGCTGCACAACGATTTATTACACAGATTCCTCCATAATTTCCCAGAGGTCTCGAGCATTACAGATCTCAGGAAAGTAAGCAAATCCTTCTGTCATCGACATACTGACAGGGGGTTAGAAACGCTTCTCTTCGATTACAGCCATGTGTTGTTGTATGTGTCCTTATGTACTAAAACATGTCTGCTTTTTACTCTTTTCTGAGTCTTCAAAACGTTTTATCGAAGTCATTAATAAATGACTTGTAAAAACTTTGCCAGATTCTTCAAACTTTATTCCTTCTTCTGAAACCAGAACCTCTTTAACTATTTTATTGTGATATAGCCTATTCATTTTTACTTTTTATAAAGATATTGTTTCAACATGCTCCTTAACTTATTTTTTCGCTGTCATTTTTTTGTTTGTGACATGTCATTTCCTCTCATTTCTGACACTTCACTATCTGCTCCGGATTGTTTTCAAACACGTTCCTCTTTGTTCCTCTCCGGTCTCTGAAAAATGAAGACAATGCGGAGGTGCAAAATCCTGCAGCTAGTCGGGTGGCCTCTTGATGCTGGCTCCAGGAGCCCCGGAAGTCAAATACACACCACAGCCATTTTTACAGCATAAATAAACATGTTTACAGCCTGGTAGAAAAAAAAAATAGGTCTGAATAGTTATTGTCATCATGGGCACACACTGTACGAGGGGCGAATTTAGAAATAAAACGGCTCCATTTTGATTGTAAGAACGATATGTGTTATTTGTAGTTAGAAAAAAAAAATGCGTGGGCATGGATTAAAATCTGGGTGCAAGGATTTGTAAACTGTGGGTACAGATATGCAAACTGCAGGTATTGATTGTGGGGCTCCTTAAAAAAACATTTTTGATGAGCACGTTTTTATTTCTTTATAGCGATCACACTTTGATTTCTTGTCCCTTTTCATAGCAGCAGGTTTGTCACTAGCGCTTGACCCGTACTATTCAGCAAGCTACCTGTAATCAACAGTTCTCAAGATAGCTAGCATAAGCATGAAGAAAGCTGAAATAATTCTGAATCAACCAACTGCTGATAAAAGTTGTTTATGTAGGCTACAGATACAGTAGCTTATCCTTTTAGCTAACTCACTTGACAGCTAATCAGGGTTGGCTTTGTCAGCAGCATGGAAATCATGCCGGTCAATACTGGAAACAGCTAGTGGCTATAGTTGTAGTTTTTCTATAATTATCCTTAAGTGTTTAAGTTTTGTCTTGATTTGTCCATTATCCAAGAGCAATAGTTCCACCCCCCAACCCCTGTCATTAGTTAGCCTACTGATGACTGAAAGGATTTGGTCTATTCTAAACCACACAGCCATCTATTCATGAACCAAATTCTAATAAAATGTCAAAGGCAGAAAATTTCAAGCATGGCTTAAGGGCAGCCAGAGTTCCTTTCACTGCGGTTCAAAGCAATGTTAAGTGTGGGAATGAAAATCCTTTCTCTTGAGACTAATAGTAGGAAGCACAATAGCCAACTTTTGATCTCTCCTCTGGCATGTTTTCCTCCTCTCTTCTCCTCCTCCGTCATCTGACTCATTCACCGCTCCATTCTCTGGAGAAATCATGCTAATCAGTGTGAGCCAGATTTAGTTAAGCAGCAGCAGTATTCAGTCAGAGGAGCAGTGCAGATAGGTGAGCAGTGCTTCAGCTAATTATGATCTAGTCTTATACCAAATGTCGACATCCTCTACTATCTCTTTTTGTAACCAGATCCTTCATAGAGAGGATATCAAAACATTTCTGTCTTTATTTTATCTTCTGAGTAACAAACGCATAGGCTACCTCCTTCAAATACTGCCATTTCTTTACCTATATGAGATAATGATGGATGTTATGATTGGTGTCCTGGCTTTTATTAAGCCCATGGAGACAGCAGCATTGGTTTATTTCTACTCACAAACCGCTGCAAACCTATAATGAAAAAACTGCCTTCTGTTATTTATTTATTTATTTCAAATCTCCTATCACTCACCAACAGCTGTGATCGTTTTTGCTCCACTACATGGCTGCTCTACCAGGTACTTAGGATACACTCACATCTTGGTATAACACATTTCTCCCTTTTTTTTTTTTTTTTTCAAAGCGGTTCGTCCAAGAATAATCTGACTTCCCAAGAGACTTTAAAGCTTCCTTGTCTTTTTTTATTACAATTATTATGTCTGCCTTTTCCCCCCAGTACTACTCTTATCTTAATTTGACTTTCTATATTTTTGATAATTCATTAACTGTGTAATGCTGTACTTTGCCAGGCAAGTTGTAATCCTCTTAAGGAATCTCCTGGCTAGGTCTAATTAATCAATAGGTCCCAAATAATAAACTTTTAACATGTCATTATGAAGAGTTTAGTCTTAATAGTGTCCAGTTTCTGGAGGAATCCCGGTGAAAATTGTATTTTTATTTTTTACAGAAACTAATTATGATGCTACGGATCCTGTTACATACCACATTTGCTACGCTGCTATTGTTCCACTTCACAAACAAATAAGGTTTAAGCAGCTGGTGTGTTTTTTCCCCCAATGGAGGTTGTCTAGCTCTTTACCCCTTTTTTGCTGTGTAAGGGAAAGTCATTATGCCACCTTAAAATGACTGGCTTCTGGCAGAGGTTTTATAATATGAGGATGGTATCAATCTTTAAAATGTCCCCATTAAAGAAAATAGGAAAATGTTTCTAATATATCCATTTTTTCAAACCTGATATTCAGTTTTGCCAAATTTTGCATCTAACATCAAACACAAACACACACACACACACACACACACACACACACACACGAGTTTTATAATTACATTTGGATTATAATCAAAAGTCTATTCCCTTAACAATCAGGCCAGTGAAACAGCACACACAGTCTACGGTCCTTGACAAGTCGAGCCCGTCTGTGAATGACGTCAGAACAGGATTGTCCTCCTCGGCCGCCGTATGATGTCGTGGCGTTTGCTGACGTTCACAAACTTGCCACAGCTACACGGAAACCGTTAACTATACAGTCTCTTATTGAGTCTGACTGTCATTATTTCACATCATTTACGCCACCGGACTGTAACACCTTCAGCGGATCATAATGAGGCGCGCCGGTTTGGGTAAGAGACAGACCTCAGGATTAGCTTACTGTCTTGTTAGCTAGCTAACGTTAGCTTATGTTGTCAACAAATTCTAGTTTTTGTGTTCTCCAGGTCCAAATGTTACGTTACACTTACTTACTTTAACATAATTAGGGATATTATAACCAACTAACCTTGTATTCATTATTATTTACGTTTTTTACAGGTGAAGGAGGCTCTGGAAACTATGTAGCGAGTGGATACAGTGTGTATGAAGAGGAGAATGAACACCTGCAGGAGGGACTGAGGGCTAAAGTCACAGCTTTGAAAAGTGTAAGGACCTTTTAACAACACTCTTGTTATTCTACTTTTGGCGAGTTATTTGGAAAATGCTTCACACTAAAGTCTTGTCTGCTTTCATGAAACATGTTTTCGTCTTGATACTTCACATGTTGATATCTACTTTTCTCATATGGACTTTATGTTGTCATTAATGTTGATCATGTGCTCTGTAGGAATGTGCACCTAAACATCATGCTGTGATATTTGATCTCAACAGTTATCTATCGACATCGGGAATGAGGTGACATACCAGAATACAATGCTGAATGACATGGTGAGTTTCACTTCCTTTAAAATCTAATTATTATAACAATGTAAAGGTTATATTTATATAATAATAAACTGAAGCAGAGAAAGATTTTTTTTACAAGAACAGACATAAACTTACAAAACAGCATAATTGACCTCCTTCCTTTAAAGTCTTAAGTTGATACATATATATTATTAGCAAATCTCCCTTAAAGCTCCTGGTTTGAGTTTTTAACTTTTTAAGAAACAGACACAAATTTAAACTAATGCAAAAAACACATAAGTAATTTACAATTTCTTAATTGTAGTTTTTAATGTCTGACATGTCTGTTATGGGACAGGTGTCTCACTCCGAAAGTGTTAAAGTTGGTGTGGTTGCTGGAGAGGTGTCCTGAGTACTGCCGGGGGGCCCTTTAGCAAGGTACCTAACCCTGCAGTAGCTCTGGTGCTCTTCCTATGAAGCAGCCCCACTCTTCAGAACTCCCAAGAATTTTATTATATAAACTTTATTAATCCCCACGGAGAAATTCTGAGGTAGAATAAAGTAAATACAATTTAAACACAGTTCCTCAAATGGGCTTTAAAAAAATGTAATAAATCATTATGAGTGTATTATTGATGATATTAAAATGATTTTCTGATTTGGTAACTTGTAAGCGTTTAAATATTACAACTGGTGGAGAGCAAACTATTTCTGGTACTGATCATATATTTTATCCTAAAAATAATTAGTATAACTGAGGAAGAACTAAAATATTTCATTCAGAAATATAGTGTAACTTCAACTCTGAATTTAAAAAATGATTTTGGCCAGACTCCCCCACTTTGGACTAGAAGAGCATTTGTGAGATATCAGTGAGGCAGTGTGCTTGTGTACTTAGTTGGACTTTACACTCCAAATCTCTCTTTCCCACACAAGGACTCGGACTTTGACTCGACAGGCGGACTGCTTGGTGCCACCATCGGCAGAGTGAAGCAGCTGTCCAGAGGCAGTCAGACCAAACTGTTGTGCTACATGCTGCTCTTCTGCTTTTTTGTCTTCTTTGTCCTGTACTGGTTCATCAAACTGAGGTGATAAGAGGAACCTGTTGAACTCCAAATTGTCCTCTCAAGTCTGAGCCACAGATGCATCTCAAACGAGGCCAACATAATAATGATGAGGGAAGGCATGGCAGTGTCTCGGCTTTACAGATGCCCTAGTCTCTCAAAGTTACATAAAATAACCCCAAAATGAATTGATTAAAGGACTCACTGTTATTTGATTTGAGACCTTTAAAAGTACGTAATGGTCTGAGGTGACAACTCACTCTGAAGTAGAATCTGGTTTTGTGCATATCTGAAGCACACACAGCCAGAATATGTATGTTCTTGATCTCAGCCCAATTTACCTCTATTGAGAAGATGAGACACAAATATTAACAAGCAGCAACTGTAGAAGATAGAGCTGTGTTGTAATCCTCAAAGTCATGTGGGCACGTTGCATGATTAACTCATAAAACGGTGAGGTGATCAATATATTCCATGTTGTGTTCAAAGTAGTGAAATCATGGAAATCTAGTGTACTTGCTAAATGGGGTAAATATAAATATACAATAATTTGTCACCCATCCAAAAACGACAGTATAAGCAGTGTTCTTTATTGATGTCGATGTTTTGTTGTAAAAAAAAGTTTTTTAATGTAAATAAACTAATTCTATGCTCTAAAGTGACATTGTAAAGAGTCTGTTTAGAAAATGCAGAATATATTCAAACTGATTTGATATCTTATTAGGTTAAAGGAAGGAATAGAAACACAACAAGTCAGATTTTTTGCTTGATATTTATTTTATACAATTCATTTTAATGCACTTAATTTTTTCTGTCTAGACTAAAAAATAGGTTTTTGACTTCAATGGATAAACATTGATTCAACTCAGTCTTTACAATTTACACTACATCACATGTAGGCTATTCACATTGTCAGATAAAAACAAAACAATCAGACATTATTCTGTGCTTTGAGGACGTAAGTGTTCCACTGTCCACAAACAGTATAGTTTGAACAATCAAAGGCAGGATTAAAAACAATCTTATTTCCTGTAGATATTAAACCCTTAGAACTATCACATCAGCACTTCAGGTGGACAATGTTCAGCAATTCACGGTGAACGATAAGCACTTCATCAGGTTATGACATCACTTCTTGGGTAGAGTGTCCATGTACTTAGAGATAATTCCCAGCATGACCTCATCAGCCCCTGCACCGATCGACATCAACCTGGAATCCCTGTGGAAAGGAAAAAAAAAAAGATAAATGTTATGTCTCTGAAAAATTCATTAACATTTTCATCAACCATTAATTTGTGCACCATGAGAGCATCCTCGTGCTTCTGAACCTCGTGTTAATCTAGCTGCATTATTTGCCCCGTCAGTAGATGTCAGCACAGTGTAAAAATGAGAGATTCAGAGTCTACCTCAGTCTCTTTTGATTATAAACTGCATAAACATATGAAACTCGTATGCCCAACACAGCACAACAGGAGACTAAGCCTAATTGCATGTTTTTGAGAAATAATACTACATCACATGCTAGGATTTAGTGGAAGCAATCAATCAATCTAACTCTAACTTGAATTATTAAGGAATCATGTTTAAGGTCCTTTTAACTGACCATGCTGCTTCTGCCAACCTATGTGGTTGCTGTTCCCATAGAAACACAAACCCTCACAAAAGTGCACATAATTGCAGACATAAAACAAATGTTGGCTACCAGCCTGGTGTAGTAACTGGTGCCGCTGTGCCGTGGTTTTGTTGTCTTAAAGGTTTTTAGATTGGATGTGATAACAAAGCACCGAGGGAAAAAAACATTACAATCATGGTGCTAGAGTTTGAGTTATAAATAACTTCTATGTGGTTCATATAAAGAAAGGACCAGCTTCACCTGTAGAATCTGCTGACCAGCATGTCACTGGTGAAGCCCATTCCTCCCCCAATGGAGGCAGTCTAGCCCTTTACCCCTTTTTTGCTGTGTAAGGGAATTGTTGTAAGGGAAAGTCATTATGCCACCTTAAAATGACTGGCTTCTGGCAGAGGTTTTATAATATGAGGATGGTATCAATCTTTAAAATGTCCCCATTAAAGAAAATAGGAAAATGTTTCTAATATATCAATTTTTTCAAACCTGATATTCAGTTTTGCCAAATTTTGCATCTAATATCAATGTTTATGATTGCCCTGACCCTGTGTGTGTGTGTGTGTGTGTGTGTGTGTGTGTGTGTGTGTGTGTGTGTGTGTGTGTGTGTGTGTGTGTGTGTGTGTGTGTGTGTGTGTGTGTGTGTGTGTGTGTGTGTGTGTGTGTGTGTGTGTGTGTGTGCGCGCGCGCTAATCATTGCATCAGGGGTGTTCTTGAACCAAAGAGATGCAATGAGGATTAAGAGCGGTCTCTAAACGTCCATACGCTTTCTCCACTTTAAAGACCCATCCGATAAAGCCAATCCTCTCACATCCACAAAGGCACAGATGAGGACATTGTTCAATCAATACCCTCTCTTTTTCTGACAGTTATGTCAAGGTCATGCATACAGCAGAGCCTTTGGGTGATACATAAAAAGATGAGCGGTGGGGCATTGAAATGCATTATGGTGGGCTGGAGCTTTAAGGTGTATTTATTTATAAGACATTGGATCAGAATAAATTAACATCAAGAAAGACATTTTAATCTCTTTCATCATATCACCTGTCACCTGTAATATTGGCACAAGGCAAGGTGAGAGATGATGTATGGGGGGATAAGGAATGCTAATCACAGCTAAACTGCACCTCCAGGATTTTGGAAATATATAGAGAAACTCTTTTCTATTTTATACGGCACTGATGGATTTGTCAGTAAGCTTCATTATTAAATCCACAAAGGACATTCGTCTGAATTTTATTGTGGTCACAATTCAAAATGTACAAAGGAGACTGTCTGTCTGAGTGTAAAGGAGCATTTTCTCCTCATAATAATATGTTTGTCCCAACAAAGTTAGATTAACACATAGATGTTTGTATATAATTTACTGTGTATCAAAGGTGGCTACAAGAGGAAAAGGAAAGTTCTGTGTTTTGGAAAGTTTGGACTAGTTTTGCATAAATGTTGCTTTAAGAAGCTGGTATTAGTCTGGCAACTAAAGTGGCCACTGTACTAAAATCCTATGTTGCATTTCTTTCCATATTTCTTAGCAAAATCAAAAGTGACACAAAGAAATAATGTTATTGGCATTGGATGTTCAACAGTTAGGCCTAATATGAATTCAAATGTTTGTTTACACTCTCGACAACCTGTGATATAGATGATTAGAAAAGTTTGTATCTACCTAATATATCAAAGATTATAGTTAACTTCAGATACAAATGCTTTGGAATAAAAAAAAATGTAAAGACAAAATAATAATCCCTCTTTATCACCACTTTTGTGTCTGTAAGGACCTTCAATCTGTCTGAGTTTGATGTACAGTATTATTTTTAGTTGTGATGGAATTGATTGACTCCAGGCAGTGGGTGTGTAGATTATAATAATGTGCCCAACTTGCCTTTCACAAAGACAGCAACACCTCCTTATTTGATAAGGAAAAAATACACAAGGAAATATATAAAGAAATGCATATAGAAAACGATACAGAAATAATGAGTTTTCTATCGTGAGGTAGAAAAACACAGAGGGACAAAAGTGAATCAAAGTCACTACTAAAGCCAAGTTGGCTACCAGCCTGGTGTAGTAACTGGTGCCGCTGTGCTAGTTCATATAAAGAAAGGACCAGCTTCACCTGTAGAATCTGCTGACCAGCACGTCACTGGTGAAGCCCATTCCTCCCCAAAACTGCAGACAGCTGTCACTCAGCTCCCTGGCCAGGCGGCCCCCCTTTAACTTGGCCATGGATGCCAGCTTGGTCACATCATTGCCTTTAATGTACAACGCTGCAGGAAAATAAAATGTTAGACTGGCAAATGTTTACAGTATATAGATGAAAAAAAAAAGGGATAAGTGAATGTAAAGAAAAACAAAGTCGATAAACAAATGGGCTTCAGTTTCAGATTTGCACAAGGCTGGATCTGGTTCTGTGCTTTTTCCCAATCGGACCTTTTCCCAGTGAAACCGATCAATGCCTCCATTGTAGGTATCCTCCAGAGGAACATGTGTGGGCTGCATGATATTCCTGTTTCAGTGTGTGAAGAAGTTTGCCTGTGTGTGTGTCTATCTACCTGTGCCAAACACATGCAAAAGCTTTGATCTGTTTCTGGGCAAGCAGATCTGGCTTGAACTGGTACCAGCTAGATGATTTCAGTTAAAGCTTCAAGTGTTGTAAACAAAACGAGAAAAACCACAAAGCCTTGGATGCCCGCCCGACAGATGCTTCCACGTAGTTGTATGAAAACACTGCGCCGTAGAGGGTTTTCTCGGGGATGACCTGGCTGTGTGCCAGTTTTTCAAGTGGCCATGGCTGAAGGATTTAAAGTCATGCCAGTGTTCATGAATAAAACAGAGGTTTGGTCAAACCGTTCCACAATTCTTCATACAGTTTGTAACCCCTGGATCCTTCTGTCTGCCTTTTTTAGAGCATCATTTACCCATTTTTAAATTAAAATAAATGTGATTTAAATTTGAGAAGGAAATACAGACCAAAAAGGAATCAAAAATTACAAATAAAATGACATGTAAAGACAGAAGACTATGTTAGCATGAATTGAATTTATGTGAAAAAATTACCTAAAGAAACAAATAATGTATGGGAAGGATAAAATTCGACTCCTTCCAAAAATCTTGGTAAAAAACAGTTTCAGACATCGAGGAAATAGTTCCTTATGTAGCTTTAGAAATCTAGAAGGACGCAGTTTGAATACCAAAGCTATCAATTAAAATACTCTGTCTGTAGAAAGGCCTCAGTGTTGTTCACTGTTAGCATGAAGCTCCCACATAAGTCTGTCTTTAAAAACCTGTCATATCTGACATGAACAAATTGCCCACTCAAGGCTGGTTTGGCATTCACATCATTCTTGCAGAGTTGAGTCAGTTGTGGCCTTTGTTACGGAGGCCTTAAGTCTTACTAGAGAAAAATTGTTTTCACGAGGAGCGCTGCATGAATTCATGGGTGTAATTTCCCTCATATTTAGTACATGTACACTCAAGAAATTAAAGTTCATTATGGGTTTCAGGGGTGTTGTGCATGATCTGGAGGAAAATAAACTTAATTTCGAAAAAGTTGATGTTGCACCCAGTTTATGTACATATTGAAAATATTCACTGTTCCCACTGATAGCCCAAATGCTGTGATGTATTACAGCACCTGTATCTCTAAAGTGAGCTCACCTGTTGCACGGTGGAGGAGGGAGCGTAGCAGCTCGACCTCCGTCTGCAGCTCTGCCAGCCTGAAGTGAACTGCCTGGTGGTGGAGGACAGGCTGCTTGAAGATCTTCCTCTGCCGTGTGTACTGGATCGTTTCCTGAATGATGATGTCCATCGTGGTTAGGACTGTGGGTGTTAAAGAGAGAGACAGAAAGTGACCCCATTACCTCTGCTTCCATCTGCAGTAATAGCTTTCTAGTTGCGCTGATGTAAATTGTCACCCTTTCATTCTCTTTAATGGCAGTAAGAGCTTTATACATTTCTTTAAGTGCTTGATGATGGTCTAAGTCTTAAGAGTTTATTGGGTCAGGCAGACTAATGCATCATTTTCAGACTCAGTACAGCTTCACTTTTCCTACATAAGTTATTTTTGAGAAAACCCAGACTCTGTCTTGTTACTCAAAACGAAAAGTAAACAAATATTTTACAGAAGATTGATGGCTTGACCTATGAGACCTGCTAACTCCCTCATTTTTGGAAACTAAAACAGAAAAGGAGTCGTTACACAAATAATGCATCCGATTCAATGGGGAGGAATACATCATCAGACGTGGGAGAGGGAGAGGGAGAGATCCGAAGAGCTGTAAGAAAAGCTCACTCACTATTGGCCACAGCCCAGAGCCTCTCTTCCTGGAACTGAAGCATCTGATAGGTGAAGCCCATGCCTTCCTGGCCGATGATGTTCTTGCAGGGAACATGGACGTCATCGAAGAACACTTCAGCTGTGTCCGATGACCACATGCCCAGCTTATCAATCTTGCGGGCGATGTGTATTCCTTCAGAAAGCAAAATAAACGTCATCGAAGCAAAAGGGCAAAACGCACAACAAATAACATGTAAAAACATGAAGGTTGTAGGGTAGTATGTCCATGGAAATAATGTAGGAATTCTGAAGTAAATCATTTAAAAAAAACACAATCTTAAATTGAAGGTCCATTTTTTGTTGTGCCCAAAAGACAGAAAAACACAATTTTCAGCTGAATATTTTTCCCCAATTAAAATGCCAATTGCTTTGCTGTGCTTGTATTTATGCTACAATGTCTGACTCATACCAGGCAGGTTCATGGGCACACAGATGAGAGATTTGTTCCTGTGTGGAGGGCCGTCACTGGTGTTGGCGAGGAGACACATCCAGTCAGCCTGGGTACCGTTGGTAGTCCACATCTTCCCCCCATTAATCACATATTCCTCCCCTTTCCTCACAGCCTTGGTCATGATACCTGAATGAATATGTGGGAAATGTGGTAGGATAGAGAAGGGGGGGGGGGTGTAAAGACAGAGGGTTCAAAAAGTGTCAATGAACATCAAAGACATACAATTTTGACTTTGAAATCAGAAGACTGCAAAGCAGACTTTAACTCAAACTGGTACTTTTCACACTTTTCAAGAGAAAAAAAAAAATCATGCGATATAAGTGCATGTCGTCCTTTTTTCATGTGAAATATTTGTGCCATATAAAATGATGAACTTTAATAATGCTGGCTGCTCAATCATTTATCAGTGTTTGTGAATGAAAAGTGTTTCTTCAGGAGCTTGAAAGAAAATGGTCTGATAATAAATGACCAGAAGATGAAGAAGGAGATACACACTTGAGACATCAGAGCCGGCTCCGACTTCACTAACACCCAGGCAGGCCACTTTGTCTCCCATGATGGAGGGAAGGAGGTACTCTTTCTTTAATTCAGCTGATCCAAACCTGCACACAGAGACACACGCATGCAAAGAAGTCAACAACACAGTTATGTGTCCTTACGTGATTCCAATGCTTTCTCAATTAAAACTTAACTTTTGGTAAAACTCTCCAACTGTACGTTCTAACTTTAGAAAGATAAAGCAGTTGCTGTGTGCTTTAAAATAACACTGCAATGACTGAGGCAAAAGCATTTCAAGTGGGACAGTCTTATCATAAATCACACCCCCCCCCTAACTGGTATTCCCCCACTTTGTTTTCTTTTGCTGCTGTCTCAGTGCTGAGAACTCGTTGCAGGCTAGAGTAGATCCCCTAATTAAGCTCTGGAGACTCCTTTTGTCTATTCCACTGAATTCTGTCTCTTGTCACCACCAGCTGTTTCAAAGCAAAAGGATATCACACAACCAGCCAAGGCCCTGCATGGGTGAGACAAATATTACCAAATATATTTAAACCCAAACCCTCTAAGAATGTCGCTTAGATAAAGACTATTTGTAGCACAACTATAATACAAAAGAAGGTCTAGACCAGGAAAGATTTGACTCAATTTTAAACAGAGTATGAACAATGTCACAGGTATGTTTAGCCGTGTCAGTTTAATCTATATATAATCTTAGTTCAGTAAATAATACAACAATTAGAGGTAGGGCCCGACCGATACTGGACTGTTGGGGACTGTACGATATTCGGGAGAGAGAAAAATCAGATACCGAGATATTGGCCGATATCTTTCTTCCATCTATAGAGATAAATAGATATAGATATACACATTTATTGCGTTGATCGCTCAGATGCGGCTCAAACACTTGTGGAAAAGATTTACAGTAGAAGGAATACAGGATGGTAGTTGTATTGTATTCACATAAAAAAACATTAAATTACTTTTAAGAAAAGTTATAAGCAGTTTTTTACAGAAAGAGAATTGAAAAGGGTATCAATTGGAATCAGCCCAAATATTCGGATAAAATATTGGGAATCAGAAAAGGCCAAATAAATCTCTAAAAACAACACAGCCACCCTGTTGCCAGATTAGCATCACAGCTATCAGACGGTGCTGCAGAACCTCTAAAAAAGTCAGTTCAGTAACTCTAAACTTGCAGTAAATATGAATGTTATGACTTGTTGAGTGTCACACGTTTCTACTCCTTATAGAAATGTGTTCATTTATACAGCAGCTTTCAACTTAGTTCATATAAACAATGGGGTATATCTAGTTTGAGCAGTTTTAACAGTGTATTTACCAGTATATGCGCTTCAGTTGGCAACATTTCATAAGAATGTTAGGAAAACAAATACCCATTGATGATTGCATGTCAATATTACTATTGAATTATATGAAATTGAAATATTCATTAATAAATGTGCATCTGAGCGCCCTCCCCTTTGTATTTCAATTCTTTTTCATCGTCCGGACTGAAACAAACAACCAATTAGGGTCAGCCTGCACCTACTGTAAGTAGCCAACACGGCGTCTCTGCACAAACTAGCATCATCCCTCCCTCTCCCCGGCGGTGCTGAAGGCACACTGGCTGTGCGGCACACACCAGCTGCTTCTTTTTTGGAATATACAGTATTCATTATTTTACCGTGATGTCACACACTTATGGAACTGCCCACCTGGCGTCAAGAAAGTCTTCCTGTTGCATGCTATGGAGAAGTTGCTCGACTCAGTTGCCGCCTCCATGTTTTATCCAGTTTAATTTAGTTCAACGAAGACAGTTTATTGTTCAATTAGATGCACTAACTGACAAGGACAGAAACATGGGTTGTACTTCTTTAGGATCCCGTCTGAGAGAGAAAGAGAGTGTGCTATTAGACGCTCCGCTGTCCTTGGTGAGGGAACAAAAGAACAGTACCACTACTGCTTAACTAGTCAGTTGTTAACTAAATCATTGTCAATCATAGACCAATAAAACAAAAGTAGACAGAAAGATGCCACATCAGGGCTGGAATAAGAAAATGCCAGAAATACTGGTGTTTCTCAAATTGTTTGACCATGGTTTGTTCAAAGAGCTCATTCTTCCATCACAGCACACTAATCTGCAGGCTTTACAGAGACAAAGTGGTTACCAGGAGGAGCAACAGAAGCAACCTTTTACCATCACAAAATGAAACCCATCACTATAGAATGAAATGTGCTCCAGCTCTGACACAAGTGGCTTTACTGGTGGTGTGAAAAGGAAAAAAGAACAGAAAGTAGACATTGTTGCTTGAGTCATCCATTAGTTGTTGTCTTTCTGATTAGAGAAGGACTCAGAGGAGGGGGTGGGAGCCAGAGGCTAAATGTACTTTTACATAAAGATGTGCCATCAACTGTTGCAAACTGAGCGTTCATTTGAGCTGCAAACTTTTCAACTATCAGCAGATTTATCAACAAATCCAATAATGCTGTTGCAGTTTCTGTTAAGTTACCTGGCCAGTGCTGGAGTAGTCATGTCAGTCTGTACGCCGATTGCCATGGGGACGCCTCCACAGCGGATGTTTCCCAACTCCTCGGACACGGCGACACTGTAGCTGAAGTCCAGACCCAGGCCTCCATACTCTGCAGAGGACAAAACACACACTCCTTCAAGTACTGATAAGAGTTAGATGCCGACAGTTCACTGTACACTGTGTGGATTTTGGTGCGAAGGTAATGCTTTTCATTGTATTTCAAGGAGAAAGAAGAAATGGTTGAGCAATGCCATTTTGTATAAATATACTCCATCACTAAGTCAGTCATGTTAAACTAGCCTGACACTCACCTTTCCTGTTTCCTGTTATCTCTGTAATACAGTCCCTTCCTAACATGTCCCTGCATAGACACACACACACACGTTTATGTGCATAATACTCCACACTGATCCGTTGTTACTGGAGCATGCACTCTAATTAATTACAGGATGTTATCATTAATTGTACTATCTGTCATTACGTGCAGAAAGCACTGCAGTGCGAGCAGCAGCAGCACACTGCAGATAAGGGTCACTGTTATCTCAGTGTCATCATATCCTTTCTTTGCATGAATAACAATCTTGATTTTGATCTCTGCAAAAAACAAACAAAAAAAACATCAAAATTCAAAAAAAGTCAAAATTGGATGTCTTTTTCCTGAATTCTTCAAGCGGAGACATTGGCAAAGACCCCGGGTCCTTAATGGAGTGGAAGAGCGTATTACAAACTATGTTTTAAATACCACTTTGTGACAGTTATCCTCATTACAATTCCTATCTTTTGCCTTTCATCATCAGCTGCACCATCTGCTCAGAAATGAATAGCCAGCCTTTTATGCCAATAAACTTAATGCTTAAGGCCAATTTCCTGTGCACTGCTTGTAAAATAAGCTAGCTAATGCACTCGCTTTTATACGAAATTTCTCTCAAGTTGTTTGTGGTAAACACACAAACAGCTCTTGAAGTTCAGAATCATTTTTCTGCACTTCTAAAAAAAAAGAAAGAAATCCTCTCATGCTCATAGCAAATGCAACAGTCAGTAATTAATTTAAGAAGACTGAGTCAAATAACTTAAGGCTGGCTGATGGATCTCATCAGTGACTGACAATGACTAATCATTTGTCAATTTATCAAAAGGAGGCCAGCAAATGCTAGCTAAGTGGATTAATATCACCTGTTCAGCTAGTTATTGAAGTTATTGAATTGAAGTCAGGCGTCTGTCAGTGAAAGAGAGCAGGGAAAAAAAAGAGCAGAATAAAGTGGGACAAAGAACTTTGGAGATATAGTGGGACATGCAAACAAGGGAGTAGGGGAGCCAAAAATGAGAGGAAACAGGTGCAGCTGTGCAGCGATAAGTCTCTGAACGCTGGAAACCCTGCGGTGGATACTGTGGACAAGGGGAAGCGCTGAGGTTTATCCCACTTTAAGCAAAACAGCAGGCCGCCTGGTTGAACAAGCAAGCGGAAGAAAAACAAACAAAATCCTATCACAAATGTCAGTCCGATGCCCATATGGTTCCTCTGAACAGCAGATGTGCTTGGGTGTTGGTTCTCATTAGGTGGCGCTCCATTAGAAACAGAAGAGAATTTAAAGGTGCAGGAACAGCACTAGACACGTCCAAGAAAGTAACTCTACTTCCTCATCTAAATCCTTTCCGTGTTTCAAATGCACAAAAACACGCGTGACCTTATTGTAAAACTATGAAAACACTAGAACCACGGTTGTTGTGTTTTGCTCATTTCCATGACAATACTGTAACAGTCACTACAACAGACGTAAATGAAACTTCCCTATTCAACCTTCTCAGGCATGCATCACCATTGCAGCATGACGCACTATACATAGTATAGTCACATAGTTTGAAAAGTCCATATTGAATAGATCATAGTTCTAACAAGAAAGAAAACAGCCTTGACACCCAAGTTTTCTCCCAGTGGTTAGTCATCCAGACCTTATTTTCGCTCTGAAAGTAGAGGGAAACAGGCCGGGAGCCAAGGGTCATCCCTGTCTTCTCCCTCAACATGGCTGCCTTTGCAAAAACTTCCTGTTCTCATGTTTTGAAAGTTAATAAAGCGTTTCCTTGTACACGGGAAAAAGAGTGGAAAAAACTGAGTGTTCGAGGATTCTTGTTCTCAGAGGACTTAATAGAGGGATATGCAGAATGGCTCCAAGAGATGTCAACAGGAGGAGCGTTAACTACGGTGCCAGTTTAAGGGCATAACCTGGTATGAATCTGTTAGAACAACTACCAGTGAGTCCTCTGTTTCCAGGATCATAAATCATCGCTGCCATTGGAGAAGCACTGCAAAGGAACAAGAATAACAAATTGGCCTGAATCCTGTTATCGACCTAATTTGTTATCAGATTTACTTATTTCCATGCCTACATTGACGCTTAAGTTTAAAAGCAGTAAGAGATGATGAGAAATCAAGAAAAAGACCAGAAATAATATTCAACATTTATTTTTTGCAGACTGTTCTCTCTGTTGTTTTGTTTTGTTCACATGCTTGCGTTTGTTTCTGATAAAGGGCAAGCACCTCTCTGATTCCACCTGATGAATCATTTCTTCAGTGTACAGACCCCTAAATCCCTATTCCCATCCCTGTAATCTAAGCCTCTAAATCAATTAACCCAGTGCAGAATGCTCGGAGAGTCTGCTTCATTAGTCAGCGCTGCAGCAGAGGGACGTGTCGAGATGTTCTTATTCAAACTGCACACTCTTCTTCAAAACATATATTACCAATGCAACTTTGTTTTTTTCCCCCCTGATCCTGATGTAGGGCAACTATTAAGCCAAAGGAAAAATAGTTATTAGAAGGAGAACAACTTTTTTTTGAAGTTTTAGAGACTAGAATCAAAGAGTGATACAGTAATAGAAGCATGTGAGGTCGATTTAAGTTGCACACTGAAACACATCAAATCAGCCCCCTCGGATATTTCTGTCTGAATTAGAAGGTCATTTTGAACCTGTACCGCATTTTTCACAACTGTTTTATGCAACAAGTTCCTTATGCTGTACGTGATAGAAAGAAGTCTACAACCTAAAACTACAGAGTGTCTCTGCTGCTCCTCCTCTCTAATCCTGTCAACTAATGCTCAAGTCTTGTGTACTCAGCACATTTTAATCCCTTTGCCCTCCCTCTTCTTTGACCTACAGACCTAATGTTGAGTCCTCTGCACTCAGCTGTATGTCCAACACTACCACTATGGTTTAGTTTATCTAATTATTTTTGTTTGCATAAATGTCAACACAATATACAAATAGACAAAAGGAGAAGTAGCTTATTCTTCCAGATAAATGAATCTTGTTAAAAATCTTCAGATCGCTGCAGGCTGATTGTCAAACCCTCCCCACAAACCTCCTCACACATCCGGCTGAATTACACACAATGACCCCAACTCATTTGATGATCTTTTACTTTACAGTACTGAAACCCCCAACCCCCCCCCCCCCCCCCAACCCAGCAGCGACACAGCTGGGTACACATCTGGAAATAGGATGCACTGTAGCAGACAGCTGTTGCTGCATGTTGATTTGACACCAGCACCCGTCATCACAGTGGGAACATTTCTACACCAGACGCACTGAAATGTATGGCTGTCAGACAGAAAGAAAAGAAAAATGAATGGAAAGTTAACTCAGCTGTGAAGAAGACATGCCAAATGCTCTTTGAAGCATTAATGGTCGAACCAAACACGCAGTGAAAGACGTTTGGTTTCTACTCCCAAACACAACATATTTTAATCCAGGTTTCCTTCATTTATGCAAATTGCAACCACTACTTCAATAACTATTCTGTGGAATTGTTATTTATTTGTGCTCTTGGATTTTAAAATGATATCCCTTAAAGCTATATCTATGCTTTGCCAAAGCCGTTTCCATTCCCAGATATGTCACACATTTATCATGAGATTTTTTGCAATGGCAAAAGAAACAGCACGTCTCTAAATCAAAAATCTTGAAGACTGAGGAACAGGTGGGTATATGGATTACCTACTTTACTTCCAAAGAATACAAATGAATGAAGTGTCTGACGGAAAATAATTCAAAACACTCCCGAGCCATTTATGTGTAATGGATACATCGTTTGAAAGCACACGTTGAACATCTTTGGGGTTTTTGTGCGTTTTCTTGCTCTTCAATTGGAGCCTCTTTCAAACATTCAGACATGACAGCTTAGGACATTCAGGTCCCAAAATGAGTAAAGTGTCATGCCAAACTCCACAGGCCAGGAACTGTGAACCCCATCTTGGTGATAGGGGCGGCTGTGGCTCAGTGGTAGAAGGTGGAAGGTCGGGAGCGTGATCCCCAGCCCCAGTGCTTAACTGCCACATGTCACCAGGCCCTTGGGCAAGACTCTAAACCCCAAGTTGCTCCTGCTGCTTCCTGAGCACTGTGTGTGAATGGAATAAGATAATACTGATGGACACTTTACATAGCAGCCTCTGCCATGAGTGTGTAAAGGGGTAGTTGTGACCTGCGGTTTAAAAGCGCTTTGAGTAGTCACAAGACTAAACATGCACTATACAGTACAAGCTAGAGTAAATCTACCATAGTTGTTGTTAGGCGTTAAATAACCAAGGTACTGCATCACCCTAACGTATATGAAATTCAGTGTTGTTGTGTTTTTGTCATTGTACTTGTTTGCTCTTACCGACTGGTTTGTTAACTCCAAGAAAACCGGCACTTCCTAAGATCTTGAAGACTTTGTGGGCTGGAAACTTCCCTTCTGCTTCCCACTGATCCACATGAGGGTTGATCTCCTGGTCGATGATCTACAGTGTAAACACAACAGGGGAGACATACTACATGTTTATGATTTTACTAAAAAAAAAAGTGAGACGGACATCATCTTTATTATGGATTAGGTTCAGACATAGCTGTGCATGTGTTTCTATGTTCCTCCGCAAACATGCACTATTGATAATTTGGCCTCAAATATTGATGCTGAGAGCAAGAATAGCAGCCCTGCTGTTCTATCTCCTGTCTCATGACTCACACCAGATTCATGCATTATTATGAGTTGAAAAACAGCTATTGTTATAGCCACATGGGCTTCCTGCACATCCCTACTTAAGTCTATGTAATCTATATGTAACAGACAGACAGATAAGGTATTACATATCAATGAATAGAAAGCAGGCTGGAGAAATGTTACAGACAGTGAATCTACGACAAAGACGAATATACTGACAGTACCTTATTCCTTTATGTTCATGTTATCATTCCCCAGCTGATAACCAAGGCTTCGCTCAGGACATACAAAATGACAAGCTGCATGCTCTTTGAAAATATAGGATCACTGCCTTACAGTTGTAGTGTCCCTCCCTCTCAGTCAATTCAATTCACTTGTATTTAACTGAGAGAAAGTAAACACCAGTTCTGCTGCAAAGTAGCTTATTCTAACAAATGGTTGCTGCTTACACATCTTCAACCTGCCATTACGTAAGACACACCACAGTTACAGGTGGGTACTAGGACTGCATATTTTAAGGTCAACCTACAATGTGATATTGGTTAAATATTGACCTGTACAAATCAGTTATGATCTCAGAGTTCCTATTTCTTTCTGCTGTTCTGCATTTTATAGAGACAGTACTTGTGTTCAGAACACACGCAATCACATGAATCTAAAATATTTAGAATAGCAGAAGCATTGTTCTTGTTCATCCCAAGAACTTCATCAACCATGTTTTACTCTTTTTTTCTTCCTCGGCCTTCACATTGACACCAACTTGTCTGAAGGGTGGCTTATGGCTAACTGGGGCTTGATTTTAGTGGCCAAATTATGGGAATGCTGGCTTCGTGTAACCAGGGCTCCGTCTTGAAGGTCAAATGTTTGCATGCTAAAGGAAATGCACAGCATGTGTAAAAATGTATTGAATTTATTGCATTTGAGGCTTTTGCAATGTCTTAATTACGCAAGTAGTTATTGTGATGTCAACGAAGTTCACTGCATAGCATGAGCAATTGTCTGCTTGTATGTCCGCTTAACATTACGATGTTACATTGAAGATGGTCTTTGACCTTTCATCTTAACTTCAGTTTATGAAATAGTCCTATTAAACATTTTTTTTAATTTTGATCAAATTAGTGAGTGAATCTGTGTAATTGCCAAAAATGCTTTGCCAGGTCTCAGTAAACTTAACATTTGACCACTGACTTATTTATTGTCATCAGTTCTGCCTTGAGACCAAGTGAACATCTGTGCCAAATTCTTGAGCCACAGACGAAGGACAGACAATCCAAAGAGCTTAATTCCTCCAGCCTGGGCTTCAATCCCAATCTGTGTCAATATGGAGCACAAATACAAGATGATAACAGAATTCAGTGGTAGTGCTGCTGGTACCACAAGATTATACACAGGAGTTGTCCAACCCAACTTAAAGTGCAAATTACCCTAAAATCTGGGGATTTAGGTTTTTTGAGGGAGGATACTGATATTTCAAATTTAAACTGTTGGTCACAAACATTGTGCTGATAATCCACATCTTTGCATCCAACCGTCCAAATGCCAACATCAAACCGACTTCTGTGTCTCCGCCAATGTTTTAATATGCCAGGGAAGAAAAAAAAACCACTTAAGTATTATTTAGAACAGCATGCAAAAGTAAAGCTTGGTACTGAAACCCATATTAAAGGCATTCCTTCTGGGTTAGCAGTCTATCCATCTAGTGAGCCACAAAGCCGCAGATACAAAACTGTTGAAAAATGAAGGACAACTATATTATATGCTTTAAGAGTGGAACCAAAAAACAGCAGCTGTGGTCATGGAATATCCTCAATAATATGAAAAAATTTTAACTGGTTGGAACAGAATCTTAGTTAAATAACTTGCTGATACAAATATCTCTCCCTGTACCAGCTTTGTGCTCATTTGTATAAGAACTAAATAATAATGGATTTGTAAGGGTGGAGCAAATTGGTTGTGGCAATCTCAACACTGAATTTTACATAATATCTTTCAACAGAATAATCAGATTTTCTTGTTTCTGGAAACCAAACTCAGACAGTTCTTTTGCCTTCTCAGTGTATATCACTACTGCCTGCTTTGGTGAGTCATGACCCAAATGTCTGCAGGCTGTAAAGTTGGATTGTATCCTGGCTTTGAAACAGACTTTGGAATGGGTGAACTTTGGTGCCGTGACTCATTTTGAGCACCTGGTAGTGGTCCACAGCTGGAGAAGCACTTATGAATGAACAATCTATTGAAACGTGTTATCTTTTGTGGGAACTCAAGCTGCGTCACAGAGAATTGGATGTCGATCTAAAGTGAGGGTTACAGTACTATGTGGTATTTTATGTTTTGACATTCCACCTCACAGGCAGGCATTGTTAACAAAAGTGTTTGGCAGGAAACCAACAACAATTTCATGTTTGGGGATGTCCATGCCTTTCACACCAAATACAGTAACAAATAAATATATAAAATAAAAACGTATGTGCCTTTTCTTGATAAATGCTTTTTAAATTAGAATGTTCTTCACAAAATATAATAAACAGCTAGAGCTGGGTTGCTTTTGTTTTGACTTCTTAATTTATACAGCATAACATTTTTAATAGACGATGACAATGGACCAATGACAATCTGCCTCATAATATGTTTCTCTACTCACCACAATAGGCTCTAAATGGTGGGTAAAAGCAATTAAAATAAGAGGGTTTCAAACAAAAGAGGTATTTATAGGCAATAAGAAACATCAAATCCCAGCCTCCAGGAATGAGACAAGTTAAATGAGTCAAGTGAAAGAATGTGCATTGTGAAGAATGAACCCGACTGAATTATACTTTAATGTGGGTTTGGTTGAAGATCTACTTCAGAGTGAAAACACAAGCAGCATTGAGTTGGAGAGGGCCAGTGTTTTGCCATTCGTCCTGAAAAAACAAAAGCGCTGAAGAAGAATTCACAGGATTGCGAAAAGTGATGCACACTCATTTTGTCCTTCCAAAACACACAAACCCAAACCAGCCAACCGCTCAACCAGCCAATAAAAACACACGGGCTGAGCGATATTTGAAAACACAGCAGATAGAAGACATGGACATCATGTTTTTAGCATTCAATGTTTGATACAAAAAATAGGCACTACTTTCATCAGAAATAAAGGGGCAAATCTGGACCTGAATCTGTCCAGATCAAACTTAATTTACAGCCAACTCACGAGCAAAAAAGTAGGGAAAAAAAGGCAGACACCAGTCCCCTTTCACCTGCAATGAACTCATTTTTGTTTCAAGTTCAGATCCTGAGGAGGGAAAGGACGGGAAGATTCTGTTTAAAAGAGAAGCAGAAAGGTCACCGGGGAGTGATTCTACATGTCTTCACAAAGGTTATTGTAGACTTTTTGTGTCCAGAACCCTTTCACATCACCAAACTGTCAAGTAGTAAGGAATGGTCAAGAAAATCACATTATCAGGTCTTACAAAATGTCCAGGCTGGAAAGTCTCATGCACATGTCAGAAACAAACGCGCTTAAAACTCAGAAATAGATCAGACTCTTTATAGCGCCCTCTGTTTCTGGAAGTTGGTAAAAAAGCTTTTATGTATATGGCACTCCTTCTGATTAGAATACAGTGTTTCCCCTAGGTTTACAGCACGGGCAGACGGACGCCGACACAAACACTTGAAGGAATCTTGGTGTTCATGCGTTACTTTAAGTGACAGCTGTCCTGTTCTATCGGAAAGGAATCCTTAAATGACTTCTTTCCCTGCTTTCTGACTCTATCCACTATCCCAGCTCTACAATAAAGGCTCAAAAAGCCCAAAAATAAATCTGAAAAAGAAGTTTCAGAGGCCGCCCCCCCCAATATATTGGTAGGGGAAACACTGGAATAAGTTACCTTTAAATATCCGTTCTTTGTCATCAATTCGCCTATTTAATGGAAAGTGACAGGACCAGTAAACCCACAAAGGGCTGAACTAGCAATGAGCAGTAAATCACTTCAACTCAGGCAGGCAGACTAAAAATACATTATTTACTAAATTTAGAACAAACATTTTCCCATAATACTCTAAACTAAGTAGTTGTTACTGGTAGAACATGTGAACTACTGACCAGCAGCGTTGCTTAAAACGGCCATACAATGGCTTTGTCATTTTGTACTGTGACGGAAATCCTAGTGTGCATGAGGAGAGGGTTCCTCTTCTTCATTAAAGACCTCAGATGACCTTCACCCCCCCCCCCCCCCCCACACACACACACACACAAAGAAGAAGCCATGAATGGTTCAGAGGTTTGTATATGTGGGAGCATGTGTGACTAATGTATTTGCAGCGAGAGATTCTCAATTGCGCACACACACGCACACACACACACACACACACACACACACACACACACACACACACACACACACACACACACACACACACAGTCTAAACAACCTCCCCACCCAATAACAGAAAGTTTGTAGTGAAAACAAACTTTGGCACACCTGACCTTGAACGCTCACTAAAGGATTTCCTATAACCTCATTTGTGTACAAACTATCCGACCATGAATTCTTTTAATAAACCGAGCTGCCTCGCGTTCCTTTTCCTGCACTGCCAACATATTGTTCTGCATTTCCTTTTCCCATTTTCATCCTTCCCATTATTCCCAGTGCTGGTATATTTTCAACCTCCTGGCTTCCTTTTCAAGGTTTAGTCACACAACTAGCACCACACCATTTACCGCAACATCTCTGCTCGCTGCCTTAAATTAGACACCGGTTGTTATTTTCAGAGTCTGTCTCCAACCACTGTCTAGTGACATACATTCAAAATGAGTCAAGCTGATTACGAATGCTCCCTTGGATTTTGTACGACTATAATTTGTAACCACTGATTTGTAGCTTTTCAAATATAAAAGCTCTGCTGATCAGATACCCCTGACTGTGGCAAAATGAGGAGAAGCAGACTAAGATTAGGCAGGAGCAGTTGGGTAAAAATAATAATTTTTACTTTTTCTTCTTTTTGGGATTGAGAAAGCTAACTAGTTTAAACGTATTTAGACCAAGCAACAGATCATCTGTACACCAACATATTTCAGGAAAATGTGACTAATCCCGTTCCAGACCACATTTGATTCCCTTCTGACCATTTGAAAAGAGGCCGATGGTAGACATATGGTTACAAAAAACACTTTTCCCTTCAAAATACATTCTGATATCTAAATATGGGTATTGGCTGATACATCCAATACTAATTCAATAAAACTGCATAAAAAGTAAAACATTAATTGCTAACATTTGGCTTACTTTGGTTCACATTACATATCAGTACAGCACATAGATTTGCTAGAAAATGTCCTTGTAAGGAATATGAGGTAGTATGAAATGGTATTTGACTCAGAACAGCTCTTTGCTCTCAGATTTGCTATTAAAAATCCTCGGCTTAAGGCCTTTGCCAAATATTTGTTTAATAAACACAAACATTTTAGCTTCGTTAACTAGACTACATTACCTAGCCCAACTTCTAAAAGCTATTTCAACTAAAAGTCATAATCCCTGCAGCTGCCAAGCACCCATACATTTTTATATTCTTCTACTGGTCTTACAAAAAGCCACCATGCATCCAGACCTGTCAGTCAAACAGTAATGTGCAGCGCTGGCATGAATCAAATGGGATGTGTGAGTGTAGGATGGGTCATGTAAACACACAAGCAATAATGTTTTCAATTATCAAATCGTGCATCCTGAATTTAACTGGCTCTTATTTCATAACATCCCTTGTTCTTTAAACTACAGAAGCAGATACAAAATAGGCTTCTATCTTAAAGACTTCTACGTCTTCTATCATAAAATAATGTCCAACTTGAAGATTATTAAAGCTATAATACAGAGAAGAGACTACAGACACTCACACAGGGCGACTTCATAACAAGCCAGCTCTGTGACCTCTCACCCACTTCCATTGCAATGCCCCTATAATGCTCTTTTACGGTTACATTATTTTGAATACCTGCTGTTTTCTCGAAGCACACACATGGGTATTATAATGGGAAACTGTCACTTGCTTAGCAAAGAGAAAGGGACACTTGTTTTAATGTTAAAAAAAAAACATGCTCGCTAATGTTATGCTAGCAGTCCTGCATACCTTTCTGAGGGACTCCTTTAATGCAAAGTGCTCTTGTGTGTAGATTAAATGGTCAGCTGCGGTCTCTGGGGCACTGGACGACTCGGGTTTAGATGACACATTTTCAGACAAAGACCGGACACCAATAAATGAGTTGAACTTGTACAAATTACGGCTGCTGACTAGCAGGTTTAAACGCAAGGCTCCTTCGCGCAGCGCCATCTCTGTTGACAGCCGTCTGACTGCGCATGCGCATGCTGTGACCACTGTAGGTTGAAGATAGGGAATGTGGGAAATTTGACTTAATAAATTTGTTAGTTTTTCGTTCGGGTTCAGACATTTGGGGAAATACCACAGATAAGATAAAAAAAAAAGCTCCCACTTACAGTATCACAGCAGTTTAATCAGTAGTTTCTGTTCTCAAAGGGTTCATGTCCTTCAAAAGTTCACCTGATAAGTGTTGCAAATTAAAGAAAGGGAAAACCCCTTTTGAGAATTAAATATTTGTTTTTAACCTTTATTTTTGCCACGTTCTTGTGAAATATTGGATATTTTTAGTATTGAAATTGGCTATAATGAAACCTTCAGTAAAAGTTAAAAAAAAATCACTCTATAGTGATTTTAGAAGTCCTGATCAACAAATTAAACAATTCTTCCCAATGTGAAATAAAAAAAATATCTAAAGCCAAAACTGGTAGATTTTCCCAATTTGGACAATTTATAGGACATTTTACAACTTTAATTCTACTACAGACATCTTCTGAACTCCATTCATTATACCAGGTTGTATAGGCCTTCCTGATTTTCTGCTCATTTAATTCCATAAGCATTTGCATGAGAATGAATGGTTTGCCTTGAAGTATGAATATAAAAAAGTATACTGAAAAGAGCTAAAACCTTCAGACACACTTTGCGTCCTTACGTTTAACTTCATAATAGTTTGTCAGGATAATTTATTTATTTATTTAATGATGGCACAAAAATGTTGCATAAGAAAAGTTTGTCATATGTCTGCAAACTGAAGATGTCTTTGTTTCTCTACCCAGTCATAAGAGCTTCCCACAGTGATTGAAGGAGACAGGCTGAGTTACAAACAAGCAGATTTAATGACCGTTGCTTCTGTGTATGAAACAACACATGGGCCCATTTGCTCAGACTTTATTCACCACATGAGAGAGAAGCATTTTTTAACCCTTGGCGAGTACAACTCTTTTTTATTGCCTCTTTCCAAAGAATACAATGAGGCTACAAAACTGGCAAGAAGATGGGGACTCATATACATGGAACCCGTCAAGTTTTATTAACTCTGGCTTTGTTTTGTCCTTCTAGGCTTCTCCAGTCTGCAAATCTGTTTTATCAGGGGAGGGATAGTGTCCTTGGATGCTAATGTTTGAGGATTTGTTGTGAAAAGCTCCAAAGGTCTTGTCTAGCAGACGACACAGCCACCTTTCTCCTTGAAGGGGTTTTTGTCCTCTGGCATGCCTTTGACCAGGATGTCCTCCTCCACCCCGGCCTGGATGTAGTCCTTAATTTCCTCGCAACATTTAGATGTCTAAAGGGGTCAGGAAAAGGTGTTTCAGGACTTATCCCGCCATATAAACCAGATAAGAATGGTTTAATTGGTCATTTTTAATTAAACATTTGCATAAATACACTAAGACAGGTGGGAAAATAGCTTTAAATGGATAAAAGTTGAGAGAAATTATGTATTCCTTGCTATTTCTAAAGTGATAAAGTTCTAAAAAATCCAGCAGTATATTGTATTGTAATACAACTTACCAACCACCTCTCAAGCTTCACTTCAGTTTTCAGTTGAGTCACTTCCATCTGAGCCTTGTCCTTGTCCGTCAAGTCATCGACGTTTATGACCGGCATTCTCTGTCAAAAAAATAGAAACATTCAGGTTTTAATTTTAAGACTTAAACATGTGAAACATCAAATAGTTATTATTTATTGAAAGAAAAAAAGTACACTCACGAATGTTTACAGGGAGCAGACCTTCCCCCCTGAAGTTCTGTTGAAGAATCCTTCTCCCGGTCCCCTCAATCTGGGTTATAAAGTAATCTGTATAAACAATCCTAATCTGCTAATCTGATTAAAACAGATTAGCAGATGTGTGATCACGCCCCAATTTAAAAATAGAAAAATGAACCATAGGTGTCCGTTTCACTTCTTTTACATTACATGTAAAAACAAGAAGCTGTATTTGATGTGTGTTATAGATTTAATTCATATTTTTGCACATTTAACTTTGCTTTTTCTTCTGCTAAGAAACGGGTTAGGGGGTGGCTCCTCATTTATAAGGTCACTTTGATAAGAGGGCTAATCTGTATTTAGCCTCCACGTGTCGAGATGGAGACACATCATTGTTCTTAACATGACTGCAATTTTCAAAATACCATCCTATAGTCATAGCTTGAATAAAGCCTTGGGGTAGAGTTGTGCAGATAATACAAGGTAGGCCTATATCTTTATTTCTGTTTTTCTATTCAAGGTTTCAGTCTTAGATATCAGGACCTCGAGTGTTTTTCATTGACGCACTAGGCCACACTTCAGTTGCTGTTGGAGGTAGATGTGGTTATTAAGCAGAACAAAAGATAACAGACTACAAGGTTGGAAGTAAGTGACAGAGGATTCCAGTGAAAATGTGTGTAGGCCTTGTGTGTGTGCGTGTGTGTGTGTGTGTGTGTGTGTGTGTGTGTGTGTGTGCGTGTGTGTGCGTGTGTGTGTGTGCGTGTGTGTGTGTGATGGGAACTTGATGGATCAGCGAAATCAGATTAATGTTTCGCGAGTCTTCCACTGAAAAACAACACGGAAAAGTTTCAGTAATGCTTCTGGGTAACTTTTGGGATCTCTGATCATCGTCATCGTCATCATCACCATCATGGTGATGGCTGGTAAAAGCATTCGTTTGGCTCTCAGTGAAACGGAAGTCAACTTTCTCTCCTAATATTTTTGTTGGCTTGAAAGTGACCCTTAGTCATAGACATTATTACTGCAACGACCCTTTTGCGCAAGTAGGCTATTACAAATTAACAGCGACACTCTGATGTCACGAAGTGGTTCATCACCATGCTGATGGATTTACAATGTAGTATTGCAATGAGTCATTACATCCCCGGCCCTTGCCTTCTCCTGGGAAACTCTTCTCTTCTCTCTGCTATAAAAGCTGGATCTGTCCGGGATGGTCTTCAGAGCGGAAAAAAAGCATTTGAAGAAAAAGTTTGAACAATGGAGTTTTGCACATTAGCGCTGCTCGCACTGTTTTCCTCTTTGTACAGCGCCTTGGCCCTGGCACCTAAAGGTAACATGCTGCTTTGAAGTCTCTTGATTTAACCGAACTTTTCAAACTTTAAAGTCGTAACTTATTGGCTAATCATGTGACCTCGGTCGCCAGAAACCTCTGCATTTTTCTTCTTATATGCTATATTCTCCCATGCTTTGTCTCTGGTGCCGTCTTCCTCCAGTAACAATATCTTTGCTGCTTTCAGGCGTGTGCCTTCTTCAAGTGGACGAGGGACCTTGCAGAGGAGATATTGAGCGCTATTACTACAACACTATCACCCAGAAGTGCGAGATTTTCTACTATGGAGGCTGCCAGGGGAATGCCAATAACTTCAAGAGCTTTCAGGAGTGCCAGAAAACCTGTTTCAGAATCCCAAGTAGGTTTTTCACTGTGATGAGCAAAGAGACGGTGACCTTGGACACCTCTCAAACCTACTGAAAGTGCACAGGGTGTGGTTTCACTCTTTGCATTAAAAAAAAAAAAAAAAAAACTACTATAGGCTTTTATTTTTTATTCTAGGCTTGTTAAAGTTCTGTGTGTTGGATGCTGTCCCGTCCCCCCTTAACTAAAATACTGTAATTCTTCTTCACAGAGATCCCCCAAATCTGCAGGTTTCCTAAAGAGGAGGGACCGTGCCGTGCCCTCTTCCACATGTACTTCTTCAACATGACCACCATGCAGTGTGAGCCCTTCTCTTATGGAGGCTGCATGGGCAATTCTAACCGATTCCAAGACCTCACATCCTGCATGGAGTACTGCAGTCCACGGAAAAGTTAGTATACAGTGATTTGATTGTGATGTGCTGCTGCTGAAGTGACGCTAACCAGCATCTCTGTGTGGCTGATTTACTCCAAAAGTTAGTCTGTTAAGTAGGAAGTAATAGAGTAGCCTATTCAAGCACAATTAAGTAGCTCTAAGAAGACACATCATGTGTAAATGAAGGCTTCATCGTGTCTTTGTAGGGATGCACATTGGTTAAAGATACATCAGTCATGAGGAAATAATTAAACATCTAAGAAGGGAAAAAAACAGATTTCACTTTGAAAAAAAGCAATCAGAAAATCCTCTGATGTTTCTCCTCTTATGAATGGCTGCCTAATCTTGCTTTGTGTCTATTTTTTTTTTTTTAGCTATTCCCGTGCTCTGTCTGGACCAACTGGACAAAGGGAAGTGTTCAGCCTCCATTCCTCGTTATTACTACAACACAGCCACCAAAATGTGTGAGGAGTTCATCTACTCGGGCTGCGGAGGGACCAGCAACAACTTCGTCTCCCGGCAGAACTGCATGGACGTGTGTGTAAAAGGTGTGCGACTGGAGCATATGTGTGTTGACTATATAACTAAGAAGTTTGTAACAGTGGATGATCATTCATAAACAGTCAGCTTGATTTAATGATAGTACTTAGTTTAGCAGTAAAAGCAGCATATTTGAGATACAGTTAGCTGATCTGGACAAAATGAAACGTGGTACCTAAATACTGATCCATTTTGATTTTGTTTTTGTTTTTACAGCTGCCAAAAAACACCCAATCCAAAGCAAAGGTCGTCGCAGGAGGAGGAGAAGAAATAATCTCATCACATTCTTGCAGGCGTAGACAGCTGACACAGGGTCTCAGGGATCTCACTTCGACAAAGCCTTCTTGGAAGCTATCATTCAATAAACTGACACGCTGTTTTTTTGCCAAAGCGTTAAGCAGATTTTTGTCTTGGTTGTTGTCACAGAAAGAGTTACTGGCACATACAAAAAGTTACACTGTATTCATACGTAATGCTCTATGAGCAGTTCAAAATGTGAGTTACCTTTATGTTTTTTTGACAAAGTTTTTACTACTGCACTAATGTTCCTGTGATTGTGTGTTTTTTATATAATGTGTGTGTTTTGTATAAGAAAAATGTTATGAAAGTGAAACTTTTTTAATTGCTCTGCTGAACATAAGAACATTTGTATAAAAACTGAAGAATAAAATATATCTATTACACTTTTTTTTGCACTTTTTTTCCTCTTATCATTATCTTATCAGAGTGTTTTGTGTCTATTGAAGATTTACCATATTTAAAATGGGTGAAATAGACCTTCTTAAACCACTGCAGTGTATGCATATAACCTTTAAGAGTGTCTTAACCAGAGCACAACAACACAGCAGGCCAAAGAAAAACAGGCTTGGCCAGTTCCTTCATTTTCTCTAAAGCACTTTCACTTTATCTCTGGGTGTATTCCATTCCTTACTAATGCTGCTGTCCTCCCGCCTTATCTGGTGAGACTTTGTGAGGCACTCAGGCCTATCTGGGCTGGCTCAGTGAGGCTTTGAATCAGGAAGGAAGTAATCATGGAGGCGCAAAAAGCTACATACTGTGGCAGCTTCATTAGGACGATACTGCATTTTAAAGAGGAGAGGAAACTGCAAAATGAGAAAACATGAGCTCCAACAATGTATGCAGCTATTACAAGGAAATTCTCCCAATTATTAGTACAAACTGCAACGCAGCCAGCACTCACATTTTCTCCAAAGCCAATTATCGAATAGGATTTTCTTTTATTTTTTGGTCAATACTACTTAGATTTCTCAGATAAGATGCGGCAGAGAAATCCAAAATCTCATCAAGAGAAAGATGCTATTAATCCAAAGTGTACTGGGTCTCTGGAATGTGACTGGTCTAAATATCTAATATATCTAATAATAGAAGAGTTGAAGCACTGTGTGATTTTTCCAGACAATAAATATTTATGGAAGATATCACAGGAAACTGCACGCCCAATCTGGCCTGGCTATAAATAGTAATAAAAGGTAATACATCCGTCTCTGCCCTCTGCTATGAGGGAACAAAAGCTAAATCATCTGCGAGATAGCAATATGAAAGAGGATGTAACAATGTGCACACAGCTTCTCGAAAGCAACATGCACTTCAAATCTATGATATGAGTGGTTTGGAGTAGCTTCCTGCTCTTTAAGGCAGACTTCCTTCATTGTCAGGGTATTTTTTATCAATAAAAATAGAAATGATAGCATATCTAATATGTATAGATAGCAGAGAAGATAAATATTCAACAAGGAACAAATTACCAACAAGCTACCTTACAGACTATTTAAACCACTAAAGTACATGATGAATGTTGCATACGGCACAAACAGACACACTGGTTAACTTTTAATTAGAACAAAGCTCTTAAGCAGACCATTAATAGGTGGCAATATGATACAGGCTGCAGGAGATTTGGTGAATAGTTCAGGGGGCTCAAGATGCAGCTCTGGTTATTTCATTAGCTGCAGCACATTAGGCAATGTCATTTTTCGCCCTTGTTCTTCGTGCTGATTAATGAGCGTTTACATTGAAACATGCTTCTCATTTTAAAAGAGATTTATTCCATGTACAAAGTCCATTTGTCAGATTGTAGGTGAGGTGATTTTACGAGTAGATTGTTTTTTAAGTAATGGTGGGCCTTTAGTCATTTTTTTAAGCCAGTAAACATCTGACTCTGTGAGGGAGTTTATTAATTCACTCTTAAAAAATTGCTGGATAGTGTTCTATTTTAACATTTCACTTCATACTATATATCATAAATCACTCAATATCTTTATCTGCATGGCATAGAGTGCTTTTAAGATGGCTCAACATATTGTAGATATAGTAGTAGGTGAAGGGGAGAATCTTAGACGCCTCCTGGTGGCAGAATAACATAGCAAACAACAACAAGTGCCTGCAATTATGGGGTTTAAGTAAAAGTGAATAGTGCTCTTTTAATATGTCATAATAAACTATTTACCTGTATGTGTGTGTGTGTATATATATAATATAACTTGCAATTGAATTGCTTTTCGCTGCTTTTAAGAAACAAACTGCAGATGCAACAGATTCTGCAGCTACTTGTAGTTATATAGTTGAGCAAATTGGAGCGACCCACGCAATGCAGTGTTGACTCAGCAGCATTTATTCAACTACGGTCTGCTCCTGTAGGTGGATTATGTTGAAATGAGCACTAGTACCTGCTGCTTCAGAGTGCTCTCACATAAGCACTTATCACATATTATAAAAAAAATAATGATTTGGATGCTGCAACATCTTCTACAATCTACATGTTTCTTCTCTCTTTTCATACACAACTAACTCATTTAGTTTACACAATTTACGTAAGTCTGATACTATAGATGGATAGGCATGATTTGAATTTCCAAAAGACAAGAAAAATATATATTAAACGGATTTACACTAATTTTTTCTTGAGACTGTTTTAATGTGCCAGTGAATGAAAGTAAAAGAAATGGAATGCATCATGTTCTATTTGTGATATTAGAAACAAAAGAACAACCTTATAGATATTTTACTTTGTTATTTCTTACTCCCTTAATATAACCAGACGTCATCATTTAGGTTTATGTATGTTGGTCCACCAAGTGGTGTTAAATCTTTACTTACTGGCTTTACTGGTGAACGTTATATAACTCACAGTTAAAACCAAAGAAGGACATACTCTGCATCCATAGACTAATCCATAGACCTCTGGTCCCCTTAGATTAATCTTGTTGCTGATTACAACTTTGTCTTTTTTTATATATATATACCTGACTCAGAAAGAAACTGCACACAGTAACTGGCCAAAGAAGTATCAAACAGCCTTAAAAAGCTGTATTTAAGTTTCAGAAAAATCACCTCAGGGCTGTCAGAGCTTGGTCTGTTTTTACAGTCGACCCATTTTTCTTGGAGGCTTCCCTGTCCTGACCTGACATGGCATCAGTTTCCCCAACATCCATCACCCCATGTTAGGGAAAGTAGAACACATCAGCCTCCCTCCTCTTTCCTCTTTATCCTGAGATTGATGCGTCTGCTGATGAGAATCCAGGCTGCCGAACACATGTAGCTGTTGTATAATTAAACAAGTCAAACATCTCCACACTTCTGCTTCTGGAAGCTTTTGCAGCTTTTCAATTGATTCCTGGAAATGCCAACAAGAGGAGATTAAAATGGAGATGTGTGTTGCCTGTGCATGTGCAGCTAGTAGAGGTCTACAGTCATTACCTTCCCTGCTTCTAAATATTGCTGTAATTACCCTGCCTTTGCTCCGGTAGCGGGGCAGCAATTGATTTTTCAGGTGAATGTAACACTTTCTATGACAGCAGGGGTCTTTCCAATTGTGCAAGGCTAAGGAATCAATTTAACATATTATTGACAGATTCCCTCCCACAGCTCACAGAGCTTTACTTTCACAACCACACGGTGCTTTTGTTGTTTGAGAATACTATCTTTTCCTCTGCACATGACGCATTGCTGTAAATAAAATGTTCTGCTTTCACCCTGCTGCTAATGTGCCACAAAGCCTTTTCATCAAGTTCAGGAAGATTAAAAGTGATTCAAGCAGAACAAACAAATGCAGATGCCTATTTTTCCCCTAAGCCAGATGATAACATTTATCTTCCAATTTGAAAAAAAAAAACACTCAAAAGAAAAATAAAGATATTCAGTCCGAGCAGCAGATTCTTCTTCTTCTTCTTCTTCTTCTCCTCATGTACACTTCAATTACAAGCTTCCCAGAGGTTGAAGACTTGATATCCAGCTTCTGTTCAGCAGTGCTCTGCAGACTCAGCATCTTAAAAACACATTGTGAGGATTGAATTTGCAGCTCAATAATAGTTTTTTTTAATACATATTAAATTTAGGAAAGCTGACCCGCCACATGCTGCCCATGAGAGGGATGCACAAGAGAAATGAAAATTCACTGAGTAAGCATATTGTATGCAAAGTAGAGGTGAGAAACAGATTATCTATGTGAGACCTGCTGCAACCTAAACTGGATATGTTGGTGGAAGCTGAGCAAGGCTATAAGAAAATATTTACTGAACTAAGTGAAAAATAGATTTATTAAACTGCACATCTGTATCTAGTTATTTAAGATATCCGGGTTTGGAAAAGTATCTATTAGTTAGTCTGACAAATTTCTTAGCAGCTAAGCAGCTAAATGGACTTCAGCCATTATCAGTCATATTTAAATCTGCTCCTACTGTGACATGTCAAAATGTTGAAGGTTTAAAAAATGTAAGATGTGTACTTACAGACGAACTTTCTACCAATTTAGGTTAAAAAAGTGAAAACAGCTACAAACAGAAAACACTGCTGATATCGAAATCTGGCCACAGATTCTTCATATTAAGCAGAATCTTGATGTGCACGATGCACTTTTTGCATGTGCTGAATAGGTTGTTAAAAATTACTATAATATCAGTAATTAACTTGCTAGCTTAAATCTGTGCAGCTACATATCTTGTAGAGGCTGAACATCTTTTTTTTTATTTATTAATATGGAGACATATTCATACTGTTGTAGCTCTGCTGTGCTCTCCATCATCTCCAGAGGGAAATGTCTTGCACTGCAGTGGCTACATGATCTTTTGAGCTTCTGGCTCCTATTTGAGTCAGAGCTAATCTTTTTTTTCCTGAAAGAATTAGAAGAATTAAACCAAAAAGCCCTTCAAAAGGTGCTTTAACTCCTCTAGCTAAGTGATACTATATCTGCACATAACTACACTACGCGGGACCACTGTCCGACAGTCTTTTCAAATGTTGTAAATCAGAACAAATTAAACAAAGTGGTAAAATAAAGTCCATTGGTTACAACAGCTTCATTTTGTATGATGATTTTTTTTTTTATTAAATAAAAATATGATACAATTACATTGTACAGTTTGTTCTTTCCTGCAGCAAATAAGAACTAGAATAATGATGTCATGGCCAAGGTCAATTTACTTGACAATGACACATTTCCTGATACACATCTTGCAGCTTACAGTACCATCAGACATTAATGAAACAATATCAAAGACAAACACAAAATTAATCCATAAAAAATGTCAAAATTTGATCTCAGAAAGCACCTCTTGATGACTTTGCCCACCCTCATTGTGTGATTTTCTGCAACATTTCAGTGTTGCACCTGTTTGAACCAAATCACTGGAAATACTGATGAGAAATTCAGCAGTTATTGTTGAAAATAAATGAAACCAATCATTCCCTAGTTAGAAATGGTTTCTCACATGCTTCTGATCTCTTTTATTCAGCGTAATTAGCTGACAGTATTAAACCACCACAGCTAACACTTGCTTCAGCCTCAGTTATCTTTGCTCTGGTTTTCTGTATTTCTAAGAAATACAACTGAATTCCTTGAGAGAATGTGACGCTCTAAACCCTGTGGATGATCTAAACCAAACTGCAAGATGGAGTCACATGGCAATCATTATTCTCTAGATTCACATCACAGCATGACCCACAAAAATGGGCAAAGAAAAATGGCGTCCCTCCAGCTCCAGCTCTATTTTGTTCATTCATCCACCACCTTTATCACCACGACTCACCATAATGAGGGGATTCTGGGAAAATGGCCTCACGTTTTCATAGAATTGTCCTTTAACCGCAGCATCATCTACAGCGCAGCTTCAAATGTGATCAGTCGAAGCGGGAACTCTTCCAGTAGGGATTTGTAAGGCCACTATTATAATGTGTTATAAATATGCAGCTACATGGCAAACACTGACTTGTCTGTGTGAATATGGGGATTTGTCTTACAATACCGTCAGGGATACATCTAAAGACAAGTGATAGAAGGATGTGTTGTCAAATAGGGACCATGCCCTGGAGAACAAGATTTTTATGGTTGGTGTTTAAGGTTGGGTGTATTTATTGTCCGCAGTAGTGGTCTTAATAATAAAGTGTGTTTATGTGTGCACCTGTTTGAAATGAGTGGTAAAGATGGGGTGGACAATTTCGGAGAAACAGAAAGTGTAAACAACTGGAGTATCCAACTGGAGAAATATAAAAAGCACTTCAACAAAACGCAAGAACGTGCACGTTGCAGACAATCATAAAGGAATACTCCTTATAAGGGGAACAGTGTTTTTTAGTAATTGTAGCTGAAACAACAATTGTAGCTGAAACAACCTTTCTCTAACATTCTTCTGCAATTTCTGTAGCTTGCTAGCTTGAGCTCTCCAAAGACTCAGCTTCTGTACAACGAGTGCACGATCAGAGTGTTTCAGGTGGGTGAGTATAGTTACTGGACAAGCAGGTAAGCCATCCAATCATATTGTTTGCCCCAACGATCTGATATATTATTGGCTTTCCAAAGATATGGCAATGAGAACAGATTGTTGCTAATGAGTATTTGATTTTGTGCTTGCTCTTGTGATGTAAGAAGAAATAAATTATAAAAAAAACAATGCTTCCAAAATAACCTGAAAGAGTGATGATATGATACAACATAAAGTAAAAAAAACTTTGGGAGAAAATACAACTAAAAAAGGAGTTCAAAAGTATACCTGAACCACAATCAGTGTTCAACCAAATGAAAAGACAATTGTGTTTGGGGTTTTTTAACATTCAAAGGGAGTTTGCTGTTATGCGTTCCACAGCGAGGGTGTTCCACAGTTAAGGGCCACGAGCCAGAAAGCAGCCAACCAGTTTTCCTATGGGACACTTAAAGAACTTCTAAAGACAGGCAGTGAGAGATCTGAGAGTTTGTGTTGGGACACACAATGAAAGGCAATCACACATACATGGAAGTACTAGATTATGTAAGAAAAAATAATTCTAAAAGTAAAATAATTTTAGAATCAATACTGAAAAATACAGGGAGGCATTGCAATAATATGAGTATGGGGTAATATGATCCTGGTCACTGTGTGTGTTGGTGGAGCTCCTGGTAACAACCTGTACAGGGATCAAAAGATTCAGCTACCTTAATAGTATTATCTGTAATAGCGTTATTGAGTTAATAGCCTAATTAGGTCAACGTTTTTCTAAACTCGTTAAAACGTCTTAGATTATCTTTAAATTTACTTCATTTACTACGCCATATACTGTAGCAAACAACAATGATGCCGTGCTGTGTATCATCGGCATAAAGTTAGATCACACATTTTGGTGACTGATTATGATGCACAGAAAGAGCATGCACGGAGCAGAGACCAACCCTGGGACAAGTAGTAGTGAAACAAGTCTAGCACATGGGCCAGATGAGCCCAAACTTTTCCCCAGACCTTTGCATGTCATCCATGGTATCAAATGCAACTAATTTTTATCTAATTTTCAAGGGTACCAGGAGGGAGATATTTGAAATTAGATGCAGATTTATACTCTCTTTTTTATCATCAGAGCAGGCAATTTTGAATTTTTGTTTTTGAAGGCATTCAACAATTTCTAGACACATAATGATCTGCGTATATCATTGAGGTCAAACAAATGTGTTGAGTACTTTTCCATTCATTTGCAAGGCTGATATCTAAAAGATATTTTACATGCAGCATTGTTCAGATGCTGTAACCTGATAGCTTCTTCTTCTCTCTGTTGTTGGAATAACGGGGTGACTGGAAATGTTGCTGGATGGCCCATGTGAGGAGGACCAGATGATGTTGTTGCTGGTGCATTGCAAGTGTTACGCCACCTGTTGACCATGCAGCAGCGTAACTCACCGAGACATCAATAGTTAACCTGAATGTGTAGCATGTCACCTCTGTGCTAGCTTGCCTCATGTGCATGCTGTGTAATAGAAAACCAAGAGTCTACAACTCCTCAGTTAACCTTTAACATTCAAAGATATATACAAAACTTATATTGTTATTGTGATGTCAAAACTGAAAGTTAATCCAATATTATTTATAAATATTTAGGCTAATTATTGCTAGTTTTGAGGGGGTTTCTTTAGAAAAAATGTGTAGGTGTAGGCTAATTTTAAGGATTTGGGTATTTTTTTTAATTAAATTGAACTTTGAGTTTAAAATAAAAAATAGGCTACCACACAAGTGTATGTGTCCTTGAAACATTTTTCAATGGCTTCTTTATCCCAAAAAGATGTCACGTGCAAATGTCATCGCATGACTTTTGCACTATTGTCTGTGAACTAGTGTTTGGTGATAAAAGCCTATACATCACCTTAAACGTATTGTGAATTTGCATAGATCCTCTTTATTTGAAGCCTGTGCTGTTAGTTAGGCTATACAAAATATGTCAAATAGAAAGAAACCCTAGGTGTTGTGAAAACATCATCTTTAACTTGCAAGCCTCACATTCAAGTCAGAACGTAATCCTTTAAGGTAATTTAAGTCATGAAAAACAATCTGTGGCCACCCAAATCCAAACAGACATGCACTGTACCACATCATAGAATTTCTCATCATGATGTTTGTTTAAAAGCCGGTGTCCAAACCCTCGCGCACACACGCGCAGGAGAGGCTCCCTCTCCTCGCTGTGTGTGCCTGCAGCACACAGACACACTGAAGATAAGGCGAGGAGGAGCTCAGCCACCACACGCTCGTCCGCGTAAAAGGGAGGCTGTTAGACGCACTTGGATTACCGGGCAGTCAACTGTCACCGCTCATAGCAGCTGCAGACCGGCGCCCTGCCCGGCGCTCCTCTCCGCGCGCACCGTCGGTCATTAAATCCTCTCATAAAAGGTATTTACCTGGACAAAGCCGTGGCAGTAGAAGCGTTTGATTGATTTTTATTTTGGGTTTATCTCCGTGGATGCAAGATTTAAAAAAAAAAAAAAAAAAGTTTTATTGACACGGTGTTAAATAGGAGCGCAGAAGCAGGGAGTCAGTCTCCGAGGAAGGACGTCCAAGCTCCTCTGAACCTCCTCTACATCTGTTTCTCTTGCAAAAATTCTACTGAAGTAAGGTATGGCTCCGACTGAAATGATCCTTTTGAACTTCTTCAAGTCTTATGCTGGAAGATGTGTTAATATGTGTCAGCTGCGATGATAATTTTCTCACTTGTCAATCACTTTAAATCCCAATTTGCATCTTTTATAGTCACGTTTTTCGGGATGATGAGGGAGAATCCCATTTTCTTTGCAATGCATGACCGTGACTGTTGACGCAATATGAATTGGATTTTCATTTCCCCGTTTATAATGCTGCTAAAGGGATTTATTACTGCATGCAGATTGAATGCAAACACCAGCTTGCCCAAGAAAAGGAAAAAAAAAAAAAATGTAGAGTATGAGTCATACTCATGTTGTGCTGCCTGTGATGCTCTATTTATAAGACTGACAAACTCCAGCTAAGGCTGAAGGGAGTTTTCATTAGATTTAAATTGTAATGATAGCATGCTTTATCCCCATGCAGAAAGTCTTATTTTGTGCTTTTGTAAGATTTTCCTGGAGTAATTGGAAAATGCAATGATTCATTGGGGATTTAGTATAGGTTAATGCTCAGGAGTGACAGAAATGAATTCGGAAGATTAGATCCTCCCAGTGAATGAATGCACATTTACAAAGGTACTTTAAATAGTCGTGTTCAAACTGCGCACATAAGGCAGCGTTGAGGATCTTCTTTCCGGCCAAGGAGATGTGAAGCTGTGTGTTTCAGATGAATCCTTTTACATCACACAAACTAAACACACTCAGGAATTACACTTTGACACAAGATACACAAACACACCCGTAGAGGCTCCTGCTTCTCTTAAGATGATTACATAGCAGTTAAATGGAGAGGCATCTGTATATGACCTGAAATAAACATCATTGTACAACACACATTAGAAGAACAATCACGCAGTACACACTTCACAAAAGTAGACTCGTATAGATTAAAGGTCAATGCATGCAACCTTTCTGCACTTCCACTATTAATCAAACTGCCAAACAAAAAGAGCATGCGGCGTCTGTTCACAGGGTTAGAATAAGATGCTTTTTGCTTTGTTCCAAGAAAAAGCTGTCATCTTCATATGAAATATATTTCCACGAGCCATATCCACCCCAGAAAGGGCTTCGTCTCTTCCCTCTTTCGCCTGAGAATTTTTGACACCACTTTTTTAAAACCACCCCTTGTGCATTTACGCTCACATTGATTATATTAACAAATTCATGGAAAATAAGCATTCCTTCATGCACCCACTTTTCCAGACCCACAGGCCGGAAACAAAATAATCCAAAATTACCAGCAAATGCTGCGTGCCTGCATCAGCTCACTCTCCAGTTGTGGCAGAAAGCGAGCAGAACGTGAAGTGCAATGGCTTGAAGATGTCTGCGGCTATATTGGGATCCTTCTTTTGGGGATTCCTTTGAGTTTACGTAAGCCTGTTTAAAGGAATGGCTTGTGTCATCTGGGGTTTTTATAGGGGCAATGGGAGTGAAGTGACTTCAGTGAGCTGATATGACTGAGAGGAATAAGAGCTTTTCTGCACATTCAAAAATACATAAACTGCGCAATACAGATGGAAGCGAGAAAAGGAATAGACATGCGAACAGGCTGTCGAAGAAGGAAATGGAGACAGAAAGAGCAGAGAATGAGAACGACAGAAGATACTACGTTTAGACACATAGGCTTGGATATGTACAGCACCCTGCAGTGAGCCGAGCCTGTCTGTCTGCTCTCTGAGTCTGGGAGATAAGTTTGTCATTCATCATCCCACATGCTGTCTGTGCTTTCTGTCTGTCTGTTTGTCTGGCTGCCCCTCAGTCTGGACAGAAACGGGCGAGCGAGCAAGCGGCAAATATGCTCACTTTGAAAGGACAGGAGTAAGAGAAAAAAAAAAGAGCAAGAAAGAGGGAGCAAAAGAAAGGTCTGCTTGAAAAGATTAAAATGGAAAAGATGCCAAATACGCAAAAATGTGTCCACTGTAGGTTATGTATAAGTAGCCAAAGTGATGAGGATGCATGTGGTATATTTGCACTGTTGTGTGTTGTTTGAGACTATAACACTCCTATATTTGTTGTGGGAAACGAACATTAACACACTGCACACATTTAAATACACTGCCATACATATTGCAACACACAGCTTAGCTATCTGTCCCTTTCTCTCTCATGCACACATCATGTAATTGAGTCCATCACTCAGGGAAGGTCGGTAGAATATCCACTGCCTGTTGTTATTCTTCAATATTAATCAAGCTAATGCCCCATGTTTTATTCAGAGGTACATGGAATGACCACAATGTCAACCTATCGTCTATCCACCAAGGTACTGTAATCACGGACCGGACAATGCTCAGTTTACAGAGGACTTACATTGATATTTATCCTGCTACTCCCTGCACGGAGCAAATCAGAGAAATCATGTGATTTAGCATGACTATGGTGTAGATTTGCAGAAGTGGAAAAGACCTTATCTTTGACCCTGAGCTGCCTTTTACCACTTTGACCATGTGGACGATTTTGCTGTCACGTAGTTAACCCCTTCAATGGCTGTCTTGCAAACGTTTAGGGAAACCAGGCTAAATATTCTGAGAAAATATATTTTATATCCCATACTAGCAAGCCATACATCAGGGTGTGGTTTCACCTTTTCAGTTGCATAATAAATACTTCTTTGCAGTGAGATCCAAAGGTCAGGAATTTCTTCTTAAATTCACACAGCGGTGTACAGCTGGGTCTGTGTAAACTGATGCAGACATTTAAAAAGCAGCAAGAGACACAGAAGTCGACATCTCTTAAACTATTAGGTAAGCTGGACTTGGTTTAGGATGCTGTTAAAGTTAAGTGCTGCAATATGTGCAGCACAACTGTAGCCATTCTCCGCCTCTCTAACATATTGGCTCTCAGTTCTGTGCACGAGTCAAATGAGCCTTAGTGGCAAACTTTCTGGACTGACAAGGGGATCTGATGTTGCCAAATTCAATTTCACAGTCATCTGTTGCAGTTATCTCTGTACTGTAAAGCTGTTTACTGAATGCAGGTGGTAAGATGAGGAGCTTTAGAGAAATAAGAGCAGAAAACATCTGAGGTGATTTATGACAGAACTCACGAGAGACCGAAGGAAAGAGACACGTGAATCTAAAATGATTACAGTGTGGTTGGTTATTTATCACAGAGTAATACACTTGCTTTAAAAAAATGCTGCACGCACAGCGCTTTATATAGTGAGCAGAAGCATCGATAGGTGGTGCTAGAATAGAGTGAATGGCTCATGGTGTGTGTGTGTGTGTGTGTGTGTGTGTGTGTGTGTGTGTGTGTGTGTGTGTGTGTGTGTGTGTGTGCGTGCGCGCGTTGAATTTTTTGACTTGAAAATGCCATTCTGTATCATTCTGTCCAGTGCTATCTTCCCACCTTAATTACTTGAATTCAATTTGCAACATTGAGGCTCAAACGTGATCCCGTGTTTCCATGATCGATCGAATGTTCTCCTTCTGACAGTTTGACGGTTTATTAGCAGAGCCAATAATCGTGCTGTGCCATAGCAGCTCTTTATTATCTGTAGCCCACAGTGTTCACCTTTTAAGTGTACCTTAAGGTCAGAAAAATACGATCATGTGTTATGAAAAATAAAAGCCATTTTCAGCAGTGACATAATGTGTCAAATTGTAAATGAGCTCATTAGGGATAAGAATTTAAGAAAAATGACTGTTTAAATTGCCTTCTTACAGCTGTTAAAATTAGTTATGAGATGAGATTTTAATTTCAATTCTATTCTCCGGGATAGTTTCTACATTTCCTCCAGGTTAATAAAGACAGCTATTATAATTTGAAGCATCCAAAATCCTCGTTTTAGGCTGCCTCTAACAAGCTAACAATTACTCTACTAAATGTTTTTGCTAGCAGCAAACTCAAAAGCTCTTGACAAATCAAATAGGAAGCATATAGGCCTACATTGAGACGTAAAGCAGCAGCTACAAGTTGGAAACTGTATATTGTAATTCATTGATAGAGCCTTGATGAATTTGGGTTTCTCTTACACGAAAAGGAACAAACATGTCCATGTGAAGGATCCATTAGCATGCTAATGTCAATTTGCTTGTGTTTCTTATTGTCTATTTTTTTCTTTTATACTCGCTAGTGTTTGCTATTCATTAAAATAAGCTCTTTGTTTTATTCTCCTTTTCTTACTTGGCAACTTCCACTGTACACTTTTGTTTATGTGCTGGTGTTTTTTTCTCTCTTTCCCACAAACTCACTTCTTCTCCATCGTGTCCCGCCTCATTCTCCGTCTGTCTTGTTTCTTTTCCTCCTTGTTGAGTTTATCAGGGGGCTGGGCCGACATGGCAACCTGCTTCTTCGTACTTGTTTTCATTTTCTCTGTCTCTGTCTGTCTCCCTCTCTGTCCTCTCACTCTTTGTCCTTCACAGTTAATTGCATTCTCAGTCTCTCTCAGTCTCGCTTCCGTCCTCTCACCTTCAGGTCTAAATCTTTTCACTTTTTCCCTTCCGTGTTTGGTTGGAAAATACTTCCTGCGAGGGTTTCCTGTGCCGAAGTGACAACCCCTGATATCTTTCTGTTGCTTGGGGAGACACATGGTCACAGGGCGAGCTTTATGCAAGGTCTCTGACACAGAGGGGTCACACTGACAGCTTGTCCTCAAAAGATCCTTTACAATGTTGAAGCTGGTCTTGTTGAAAAATGCCAAGTCCAACATTTTAGAGCTACAAAATAGAGTATTCGATCGCTCATATTGTTTGTAATCTATACTACAGTATAAATTCTCCTTATGTGTGTGGTTCCAAAGGATCTTTGACGATGCTTACCTGCCAGGTGTCCAGATTCTCAATCCAGATATGTTTGTCCTTTATTTGCCAGAAACACTGACATTTAGTGTGACGTGCTGGAATATTTTTCTTGTTCCTTTTCTCATAAATTTGCACTCTCTTATGGCACTAATGCATCTGTCAACTTTCGACCGATAGTGATCTTTTGATTAATGTGAACAAGAAGACTTACAGTAACATGACAACCATAAAAA